TGTTAATTCAATATTTCAAATCTCAAGATGAGCTTGAGCCCGACCCCGAATCTCGAGACCATTTTGTTTGGCCTCACCGAACGATCCCACACGCCGCGTCCGGGGCGTCGCGAACCGCGAACGAACGAAAACCCGGACGTAACAAGAATAATTAAAGTTAGATGTGGATCACACGCACATCCTGTCCTTACAAAAATAATGAACTACAACTGTATGAAAATAATCGCACATTCTAAACCAATTGCAATTTACACTCAACTATAAATTACATAAAATTCTACACTTAAAATATGATCCGTTTTGTACTTTTTGTACGTGTGCTTATTGTTTGATTAATTGTAGCAATTATGATTTATTTACAGGCACGTCCATCTGCAACTATGCATTACATCACGTAAACTTAATAAAGTGCTCATCATTCAAATGTTAATTCAAATGTTGATGTACTTTAAAACGACTATCGCCTTACTTATCGATATACGTTTAGTACTTATTACAATGAACAAAGGACAACTTTGGACCTTGAGTAATGTTGTCATATTCTTGTCGGAAATTTTTCATTTTATTCAGTTCAGCATCATATTTTTTACATTAAATTATTCGTGTCAAAGTATTTACAATAAGGTATGGTAAAATCAAATCATTACTAATTATTTATAAATTGTTTATTAGCAAAATAATAAACACAAACAACAATTTTACATGAATGAAGTTACATATGTATGTAGTTTTTCCTAAATGACGTAATCTTATTCATCGTGTATAAAACTGTCAAATTTACTACATAATTTTATATGTAAACACATGATAGTGCTCCGTCATATAAATCAGGCCATAAACGTTATTACAAATATATGTGTGCAAACTGTTGTTAAATTCTAAACGATACCATTAGTTATATCCCGAATTTTGAAATCGGCAAACTTTTTAGATTAAAATTGTTCAAGAACCTAAAATCTCAATGAAAAATATAAAAACACCTTTATTATTTGATATCATCGTTATCTTTCGATTACGACCAGTTGGAATAATATTGGTGCAGCCGATACCGAGATCACGATATCGAGTCACAAAACAAAATTATTTTATATAATATTTTCAGATATTTTCACACAGTAGTAATACATTTAATGATATTTCTATTAATTAATTATACGAATAATTTCCGTACTATAAAAACAAATTGATCCTAGAATTGCATTTTAATGAAACTAGCTTTTTCTTCACTATAATCCGGTTGACAATTTTATACACTTTGTTTACTTTATGCGTGTTGTGTTACGGAATACTTGGCTAATTGCATTTATTTTATATAAATTTTTATTAAGAAATAAGAAGAATGTAATATCCTAATAATAATATATCCTTTTTTATGCACTGGGTATACGTTTATTCTGATTTAGGGAAGTTTTTATAGTAATAAAATAATTTCAGATAAACGATACGGTAGCAATTCTTCACAAATTGTCCAACTGTAATCTCGATGAAGATTTACGTGAACTGGTAATTAATTATAACAAAATTTGGTAAATATATAGAATAGGGGAGCCCCCCCCCCCCGATGATCTTGACCTTGACATATGTTGTCAAGGTCATGACCCTGAGTAACCTCCTGCAGGTTTTAGATGGCGGTCACTGTCCGTTAAAAAGTTATTAACAAAAGAAGTTTCAAAATTAACGTATAATTTCTGCCATATATGTATTATAACAAGTACTATTTTACATCTCCTTCTGTTTAGAAACGTTAAACTTTCCACGCGAAGTAACTCTCACCTCCCCCAACCCCCTGCGAAGGGGCACACGACTTCTACGATAGTACTGTTGCTATGATACTACTGTCGGGGCAGACCTCTGTGACGGTGTGGGTGCGGGAGGGTGGCCGAAGGCCGCCCCCTTGCACCCGCCCGTGTGTGTAATATCAAGTAATAGACTCATAATCGTTATATAACGAATGGAACACACACACACACATACACACACACACACACACGGGCGGGTGCAAGGGGGTGGCCCAACCCCCTGCGAAGGGGCCTCCCCCCGCACCCACACCGTCGACAGAGGTCTGCCCCGATAGTACAATCATAGCAACAGTACAATCGTAGAAGTCGTGTGCCCCTTCGCAGGGGGTTGGG